AAGAAAAAGCACTTAGTTTAATCTTGGATTTTTTTTTTCAACCTAGCAATTTTCTGATTGTCAAGGAGGGTGAAAATGAAAATTAGATTTTTTACTGGGTTTTCTTAAAAATCACAGAAGAAACTAGACATTTCCAAATGGGTGATTCATTAAACATCATCTACTGTGAAAAGGACACAGATGAGATTATCGACGAAGTGCTCATTATGTGCATTCTGTGTTCATGGGGATCCACGAAGAAGCTCTGACCAGGAGACAGTAAGTGGCTCCCGAGAAAGCCAGTTTCTCCTTCAAGGCTCTGAATTGCTCATTTGTGGATATGACATTCAAGAAATGTCATTTGCCCCTCATAAGATTTCTGCGTCCTTCTTCATACATCTCTGTGTGCACACAGAGGAAATTCAAAGGCTCTGTCTTTTAATCCCTTTTAACTTTGACTACAATACTAAACCTGACCCCAGGAGCCTCCTACTTTCTCATTTTCTCAAGGTGCTAGAGAAATCACCTAACTTTATGATTGAAATTAATGTTTTCATTCAACTGCAGATGCTTGAGCTCAACACACATACTAGCAGAGCGAGCACTAGCCCCTTCTGCTCCTTCCACCAGGTAATATGCTTTTCCCTTTTTTTCTTTTTTCTTTTTTTTTTTTCTATTATCCTTTTAATGCAGAGCAGGGCTACTGATTACAAAGAGGCAGTTTGACTCCAGCAATAGGTCTTCTTCACTAATCCTCACTGTCATGGAAATTCCAGCTGCTACAAGAATAAGAGGCTCAATCCATATTTGCCAGCTCTAATATGAAATCTGTCAGAGCCCAAATTAATGAGTTCCAAATTCCTTACATCACGATAACAGGTTAAGACTGGTCAATTAATTACATAAATCCTTCCCGATTCATTGTGCGTTTGCAGCCCAGATTGTGTCTTACATTACTCCATGACACAAGGCCTTTTGGCTCCTGTTGTTCTGCAGAAAGGCCCCATTTAAGTGGAGGCTGCCTGCCACGGCAAAATGTTAAATGTCACACGTTAAATTTGCACTTTTCTGTAATTGCTTTTGTTAAAAAAAAAATTAAATTACAGCACAAGGCTCCCAGTACACCACTATGCAGAGGGCTGGGATTGGTACTGAATGGATCCCAAGGCAGGCAAGTAGCTAGCTGTCTTTTACAGTTTACACAGGTCTAATAGTTTACAGCCCCCTCTGTACCTGGTGCCCGATAGGCAGAAGAACCCAGAACGTGCGTGTTTGTGAAAATAAACTAAGTCTCCCTAAGATCTGTTGCAGCAAAAATATATAGTCGGAAGACTTTTTTTCTTTATGAAAGGATTAAAATAGGATTCTTTCCATAGCCAGTTTCCCTTTTGTTTACCAGTGTAAGTATTCGATATATAAAACACTGTTGATCTAATCACCTTTTCCGGAACATAAACTGTACAAATATGTGTGTGCAGGTCTTTGTGCAGGATGTCGCTGATGGCTTTGCCATCTGCATTTGTAACTGGCACACACCTACAGAGGGAGAATAATTGAGGATAAAGATCTCAACGGATTTCAAAAATTATCCAGACCTTATTCTTTTTAAAACATCAAAATGCACCTGTTACCACAACCAATTAGATCTACACCTAGGACTATAGGTGTCCAGATTTCTAGTGCAATCTCTCTTCACCGCACTACATTTCCTCAAGGAGTGGACTTTTTATGTACCTATGCTCTGTGTAGAAGGGAACCAGTTTCGGTTATTTCCTGCATCATCTTATTGAGGGTTGGGTGTTTCGCGAGTACACGAGAGAGCAGATGATGCTCCCAAACAGCTACGGAAACCTAGGTAAGGCGTCGGTTCTTTCCATTTGGGCGCCCTAACACCAAGCCACCGCGCAGACAGCTAGCCAGACCCCAAACGGCGCGTTCTCCCGCAGACGGCCGCGGCCACTGCTCTGGCCCGGCAGCGCCCCCCTCTGTCCTCTAGTGGCCTTGCACAGGGTCTACCACCGCCCGCCTGCTTCTTTCCAAGTTAAAGAAAGCTCGGCCTCTGGACTCCCGGCCTCATGGGTGGGGAACTTGTCTCTCCTCGCACGTACCCCCTCTCTCCCCACCTACATACACACATTAAACCCTGACCCAGAGGCACGCGCTTCTTCCCTAGCGACCCAGTCCCGCCACCGGGAGCGGGAGGGGGGTGGATGAACGCGCCAGTGCGCCCACCTGCAGGTTTTAAGGTTCTAGGGAGACTAGAGGGGAAAAGGGTTAACTAACATGTGCAGTGCGGGCGCCGATAAAACATTCAGAATGCGTGGGATTCGCCCACCTCGCCGCCACCCCAGGGCGCTCCCGGGCCCCTCAAGGCCTCAGTCACACCCGGGCCGGC